AGGGTTGCGATCCATTGCCGGACACGGAAAAAGACAAAAAGACAAAAAAAAAAAAAAAACCAGAGTCTCTAGTGGATATCTGCACACCAAAGTTCACTGCAGCATTATTCACAATAGTCAAAGATGGAAGCATCCATCAGTGGAAGAATGCACAAAGAAAATGCAATGTAGGTATACAATGGAGTATTATTTAGCCTTAAAAAAAGAAGGAAATCCTATCATACACTACAACATGGATGAACCTTGAGGTTCATCCTCAAGTGAAGTGCTAAGTGAAATAAGCCAGAAACAAAATGACAAATACTGCGTGACTACACTTATTTGAGGTAACTAAAATGGTCAAACTCTCAGAAACAGAAAGTAGAAAAGTGACTGCCAGTGGCTGGGGGGAGGAGGATAAGGGGAGTTGTTGTTAATGAATACACAATTTCAGTTTTAGCAGATGAAAAAGTTCTAGAGATCTATTGCAAAACAATGTACATACAGTTAACACTACCATACCATACACTTGAAAATGGTCAAGATGGTAAATTTTATATTATGTGTTTCTGACCATAACTTAAAAAAAAAGAGATCCCAACCTCAATTTCCTTGTAAACATAAAGCAATGGGGACTATTAGATAATCTGTAGTTACTCCGAACAGTAACATTCAAAGATTCTAAAATAAAATTCCACACTGACCTATGACTGTACTGAACTCCAAGCACCTTGCCCAAATATGTTCACCAAAAGATCTAAAAGTTATGCTGTGAGCCCTGTAGCTTTCTGATTATTAACTTAAAAATGGAAAAAATTTTAATAGAAATAAACTCTTTCTTTTAAAAACCAAGATATAAGGATTAACTTACATAAATTTTAAGATTAAATGACAGGTCTCCAAGGAAAATACACTTTAACCACATTCTTGATTAAAATCAATATAAGCCCTTCCCTTGAAAAAGTAGCAGGTGTTTAGGAAACAGCAAATGTACTCAGTAAAACTCCGCTTATCTAACACAATCTCTACTAGCCTGGACAATGAAACTCACAATCCTACACTCTTAAAATCTATAAATTTTGGGCCGGCCTGTGGCTCATTCGGGAGAGTGTGGTGCTGATAACACCAAGGCCACGGGTTCGGATCCCATATAAGGATGGCCGGTTTGCTCACTGGGTGAGCGTGGTGCTGACAACACCAAGTCAAGGGTTAAGATCCCCTTACCGGTCATCTTTTTAAAAAAAAAAAAAACCTATAAATTTTCTGTAACTTCCTTTTCTAAATTACTAAATATAAGTTTCTATAGCAAGAATCAAACAGATTCTCAGTTCAAAATTATAATTATTTTGTCACTTTCAGAGTGAATTTCCCTCCAATATATAGGCTCAGCACTAATATTTATTGAGCGCTTACTTTGGTGCCAGGCGCTGTTTTAAATGTTTTAGCTATATTAACTTATTTGGTCCTCATGCTTCTTAGGTAAATCTCGTTATTATCTCTCTTCATGAAGAAACCAAGGCACAGAAAGGTTATATAATCATCAAAAGAAATAAATCTGCTAGGAGAGGCAAGAATGCTTTTTTTTTTGCTGGGTGGTACAGGGATCAAATCCTGGACCTTGTTGTTATCAGCACCACGCTCTAATCAACACAGTACTTTGCCATCTGAGGGAAGAATTTAAACCAAAGAAATCTGACTTTGATGCTACCACTTTTCGCCACTATACCATATTGGTTCTCTCAAGTCAAAATGAACTTTAAAAATACTACTACTTCCATTTATATGAAATCTCCAAAGTAGGTAAATGCAGAGAGAAGGGAAAGTAGATAGGCAGTTTTCTAGGGCTGGGGGAGGGGGAATGATGGTGGCAGAAGGAAAAGGGTGTACAGAGTTTCTTTCTGGAGTACTGAAAATATTCTAAAATCAACTGTGGTGATAGTTGCCCAACTTTGTGAATATACTAAAAATCACTGAATTGTATATATATGGATGGACTGCATGATGTGTGAATATCTCAATAAAGCTGTTTTTTTTATTTTAATGCCACTTTGCTCCAAACTGGAGCAGAGACTGAAACTTTTCTTCATTCAACAACAAAAGCCCCTCTGAAATAGGTATCTCAGATCATAGAGCTCCTGAACTCACTGGTCCCTGTGCCACACAGTTCATTCAAGTAAGGAGCCAGTCCTTTCAGTCATAGCTCTTCCTACATGAATGCCATCTGGTACGGCAGGAAGAGATCTCCTCCCATTTAAAAATTTTCAAAAGCACATAGAATTTTGTAAGTTTCCTTTACCTCTGCAACTCGAACCAAGACTGTAAAGCCAAAGGTATGCAGAGGGCATCTTCCTGAACCAAAAATATCACTCAAAGATTTGAGGAAAAAAGCTTAAATATTTTTCCTGAAGGTGACAACTTTAAAATAATATTTCTGTATTAGCACAGACACAGCTATAGAGTGGGTCAGAATGTATAACATTAAAATAAAATATGAGGGTCGGCCCGTGGCTCACTCGGGAGAGTGCGGTGCTGATAACACCAAGGCCACGGGTTCGTCTTTTGCTGTCTAGATTAATGCTCATCTGTAAAGATGGCAAGGTGCCTCCTTTAAAGATCTTTTGTTGATTTTACTTGTAAGTACCAACCATACTTCAGGTGACATGAACCATACTTCAAGTGAGCCTGGTGCTGACAACATCAGGTCAAGGGTTAAGATCCCCTTACCAGTCATCTTTTAAAAAATAAATAAATAAATAAATAAATAATAAAATAAAATAAAATATGAAACTTCAAGAGCTGGCCCCATCCCTTGGCCCTCAACTCTTATGTACCTACAGTCACTCTCCTATGATTAGAGTGGTTGAACTGGAAGTGGATGAGAAGCAGTACTTCAGACCAGAGTTTCTCGAAGTGTAGTCTATGAACTAATGCCAGTCCACAGACTCTTATTACTGATCCATGACCAAATAAACATGCAAGTTGAGAATACACATTTAGTAACTTTAATAACAATTTGATATTGCCATGACAAATTTGGACTTTTATTTTGCATTTCTTCAGGAGTTTCTCCCCATTTCAGTTTTCTGATTGTTTATTTAAACTGCATTTTACAAAAGTACTGGTCCACAACAGACTGAAAATTTTAAAAATCCCAATTCATCCTTCAACACAAATAGTGTGAGAAGTACTGCATTAGCAACTGGGAAGTGTAAAAGCACATGATGATATCCCTGCTGTTTACAGAGAAGGAATCTGTCGAGACAAATATTGTCTGCAGGTCAAGGAAAAAAAAAAAAAAAACTAGATATAAAGGGGCTGGCTGCTTAGCTCAGTTTGTTAGAGTGTGGTGTTATAATGCCAAGGTAAAGGGTTTGAATCCCCATACCAGCCAGTTGCTACAAAAAAAAACTAGATACAAAAAATGTTATCCAAACACCACAGAATTAACTTCCTAGTCTTGATGAGGGGGCGGTGGGGAACAGTACTTTTCCTCTACTCTCTTAGGCCTGTGAATTAAACAGACAAAAAAGAAATTAACAAGAGCAAATATTTATTTCATGTGCCTATGAAGGCTTCACAGAAAAAAACGTGAATATCCAAAGAGGTGATTAGACCTGGGAGCTTATATACCATTTTAACAAAAGGAGATAAATTGCAGAGAAGTGACTAGACAAAGGGAAAAGGGTTTGGGCTTCTAGGGATGGTAAATTGTGGGAAGGTATATGGAAGAAATTAATGGAAGTCAAGGGTTGTTTTAGTAAGGTTTGTTTATACAGACTCAAGTTGGCAGTGATAAGTTTTCTCTGGTGATGCAGAATTATTCTCTACTTCTTGGTGGTGGGTAGAGGGGGCAAGACACCTTGACAAAGGGAAATTTCCAATCTGCTGTTCTGCTTTTAGGCATACAGGGGAAGGGTAAAGAACTCATATTGTGTATACTGTTTCTCAGCTGCCTTCAGCTCCAATTAATCCTTATGCTAAAGTGGCATATTTGGGAGTGGCATATTATGATCCTTTTCATGCTCATGTAGAGAGGTAAAAAAAAGAAAGAGCCATGACAACCAACTATAATCTGAAAGAGAAGAGGGTGCAGTATAATCCACTGGGATTCCAATCACAAAATGTCAGTTCATCCTGCCATCCACACAACTCAGCTTACCCTGAGTCCTGGAAATCCAATCCAACACTCACTACATTCAGAACTGTACATGCAGATTTTATAAGGAAAATGTTAACTGAAAAGAGAATAGATCCTAAAAGACCACAATTTCATTAATAGGCAAAAAAACACTAAAACATTCTAATAATTCCAGGTCAGAACAGAAGCCCTACTGAGATCATTCAAAGGTAATATCTAGTTTACCAAGACAACATTTTTCTTTAACGTATTTCACTAATGCTGAGTTCCAAATGTATAGGAAAAAACTCTGGAAGCACTTGTACAGAAAGGAGAAAAGGCTAAAAAAAAATTTTTTAAATGTCAAATCTCCCAAATAGATAAGTAACCACCAAAGTAAAGAGAACTGGAGCATCTCTGCATTATATTTATAGGGTTCTAACTCTGTGTGGCCCAAGAAGCTCAATATTCTGGTCACTGTAAGCCTAAGAAGCTATTTTGAAAGCAAAATGCAAGATGTAATCTGAAAGATATCAACAATTGGGACCACACAAAGGGAGAGTTGAAAAGAGACCAACAAAACTAAGCTTAACAATAAGTAAACACTTATATGATTTTTCTATACACCAAGCAATAGTCTAAAAGCTTTACATAGATCAGCATATATAAACTACTGCAAATAACTGATGGCCATGCTTCCTAACTGGATTTACCCTTTGTTTTATTTAAGCCGACTGCTTTTACAAGGTTCCTGGCAAACTCCCAAATTATGAACTGAAAGTAAACTACATACTACAAATCCTCAAACATAACAATGTCACTGATTTTCAATCTCTTCAATATTTTAACAGTTTATTTCTCCTAGATATTTTACCTCATTATACCATAAGTTATTTTAAGAGTTGAACCAACTAACATCAACAATGACATGACTCAACATTAAACTAGAAATCAAAATCACTGATCTGTTAGGCTAAAATTGACTTTGCTTTCTAATACACTATTTCAATCAATTTTCACATAATTAACAGCATAACCAGTATGCTCAGGATAAAATTCAACAGAAACACCACATGAAAAATAGTTACCTGAATTTGAATCTGGAAAAGACAAATAGCAAATATTGGTTTTCTGAAAAAGAAAACAAAAGCTATGTATGCTGACACACACACACACCCCAATAGAAACAAACAGAAATATGACAGTAAACTATACAGAACAATATTTCTACTTACTTCTTTATCAGAAAGTTTGGAATGTTGAGGATAAATTACCTGGAAGAAAAGAGTTAAATCTTGTTAGACATATTATAAACATTAGTAGATATTTCTAAAATATTAGTTGGCTATGGCCAAATAGCTTTAAGAAATAGTTCACAATCGGAACACTCTCCTATTTTACAGAACGGGGTATTGCCTGATTCTAAAATTGCAAATAAAGAGCCAGTCAAGATCTTTAAATTAAATTTCTTGTAATTTTATCTTTTGCCTATTTGCCAGTCCCACAAATCCGGAGTGTAATTTCCAGCAGAGCACCAGCAGCACCTATAGCAGCCAGGCCGCAACTGTGGGCACCAGGATCATTGCTGCCTTACCTGCCTCCCTGCACTACAGCAGCCCTGCTTCCTGGCCCACAGCAGCACCATGATTCTTTGCAGAGATTCCAGTGGTGACAAGAAAAAAAAAACAAATGGGCAGCCCATCTGTGGCACACCTTCTACAATTATTATTGGTGTAAAGAAGATATTTCTGTCCCTCTCCACTGCCACCCTGACCAGTCTCACACCTGGACTGGGTGACAACTTCTTCAAAAAGGATAAAGCTCAGAAGGAAGGAGTGTGCCCAGGGACCTCACCAGGAGCTGCGGGCAGCCCCCTGCCCAAGAAACAGCAGGAGTGCACCCACGGACCTCACCAGGAGCAGCAGGCAACCCCCACCCAACAGAAGACAGGAGTGCACCTGGGGACTTGACCAGGAGCCATGGGAAGCCTCCACCTGACAGAAGGCTGAAACACGCCTGGGAACTGCAACCCCCGCCACTGCTACTAACACTGCTTCAGTACTGGTGGTCCACCACAGCCACGAACACAGCCACTGCTGCCACAAGCATGGCTTGCTGCCACAGCAGCAGCCACAGCTACTGTACAGGTGGCCTGCAGGCGACTAGACTGCATTGACACAAGGAGAGTCACTAGCAGAGTCCAGAAAAAGAGGAGGAAGTCTCTTTCCTCAAATCCCACTCCAGAGTAATAAAAGAAGCAACGCTTACCAGATGACCAGACATCAATGCAGAGATACAAGAAATACAAAAAAGAAAAGAAAATATGACACCACCAAAGGAATACAGTAATTATCAAGTACCAGACCCAATAGAGCAGGAAACCCTTGAAATAACTGAGAAAGAATTCCGAGTAACAATCTTAAGGAAACTTACTCAGATATGAGAAGACCCCGTTAGACAACTCAATGAAATAGAAAAAGTATCCAGAGTATGAAGGACTGAGTTTACAAAGAGATTTAAAAAGAATGAAGCAGAACTCCTGGAAGTGAAAGATTCATTCAACAAAATAAAAAACACAACCAAGAGTTTAAGCAGCAAGTTAGAGCAAGAAAAAAGAATTTCTGATCTTGAAGACAGTCTTTTCGAAATAACCCACGTGGACCAAAAAAAAAAAAAGAAAAAAGAATTTTAAAAAATGAAGAAAACCTAACAGAGCTATCAGACAAACTTAAGTGCACAAACATCCAAACCAGGGATGTTCCAGAAGAGGAGGAGAAAGGAAAATGCATTCAAAACCTATTCAATGAAATAATAACAGAAAACTTCCCAGTTACAGGGAGAGACATGGACCTTCAGATCCAGGAGGCTCAAAGATGCCCAAACAGATTCAACCCAAAAAGATCCTCTCCAAGACACAGTGTAGTCAAACTGGCAAAGCTCAAAGAAAGTATCTTAAAAATGGCACGAGAAAAGCATCAAGTCACCTATAAGTGAGTCCTCATCAGACTAACAGCAGACTTCTCAACAGAAACTCTATAGGACAGAAGAAAATAGGATGATATATTCAAAATACTAAAAGAAAAAAACTGCCAGCCCAGAATACTATACTCAGTAATGCTATCCTTCAGAAATGAAAAAGAAATAGTGTTTTCCCAGACAAATAAAAACTGCAGGAGTTCACCACCACACAATCAGACCTACAGGAAATCCTCAAGGGAGTCCTGAATCTGGAATCCAAAAAACAACAATCACTACCACAAATACACAAGAAAGAACAAAACCCACTGGTAGAAGAAAAATACAAATGAGAAACAGAAAGAAACTAAATCTTACCACCTTAAAAAACCAACAAACATTGAAGATAAACAATAAAAGAGGAAGAAAGGAGCAAGAGATATTTATAACAGCCAAAAGAAAAGCAACAACATATCAGGAGTAAAACAATACCTTTCAATAACAACCCTATATGTAAATGGATTAAACTCCCCACTCAAAAGACACAGACTAACTGATTGGATTAAAAAGCTGGACCCAACTATATGCTGCCTTCAAGAGACTCACCTCACCTGTAAAGACACACACAGACTAACAGTGAAGGGATGGAGTAAGATATACCATGCAAATGGAAACCACAAATGAGCAGGAGTAGCTATTCTTATATCAGATAAAAGAGACTTTAAACCAAAAACCATAAAAAGAGACAAGTCCACTATAATATGATAAAGGCATCTATCCAGCAAGAAGACATGACAATCATAAATATATATGCAGTCAACATTGCAGAACCAATATATAAAGCAAACCCTATTAGATCTAAAGAAAGATATAGACCCAATACAATAATAGATGGGGACCCAAACACTCCTCTCTCAGCATTGGACAGATCATCTTGGCAACAAATCCACACAGAAGCACAGGATTCAAACTATGCTTTAGACCAACTGGACCTGGCAGATATCTACAGAACACTTCATTCCACAACTACAGAATATACATTCTCCCCATCAGCACATGGAACATTCTCCGGAATAGACCACATATTAGGTCACAAATCGAGTCTCAACAATTTTAAAAAACTGAAACCATTTCAAGTATCTTTTCAGACCACAACAGATTAAAACTAGAAGTCAATAACAAATGAAATTCTGGAAAATATACAAATACATGAATACTAAACAACATGCTCCTGAACAATCTATGGATCCAAGAAGAAATTAAACAGGAAATCAAAAATTTCCTGAAACTAATGAAAATAAAGACACATCATACCAAAATCTGTGGGATACCGCAAAAGCAGTACTAACTGGAAAGTTTATGCAAAAAATGCTTACATCAAAAGAATAAAAAGATTTCAAATAAACAACTTAATGCTACACCTCAAAGAACTCGAAAAACAAGAACAATCCACTCCCAAAATTAGTACAGGGAATGAAATAATTAAGATTAGAGCTGAACTAAATGTTAATAGAAACCCCCCAAAATGATACAAAAGATCAACATAACAAAAAGTTGGTTTTTTGAGAAGATAAACAAAACCATTAGCTAGGCTGATTAAAAAAGAAGAGAGAAGACTCAGATAACAAAAATCAGAAATAAAAAAGGAGATATTACAATCAATACCAAAGAAACACAAAGAATCATTAGAGACTATTATGAACAACTATACACCAACAAATTTGAAAACCTGGAGGAAATGAATAAATTCCATTAATACAAACTACCACGACTGAACCAAGAAGAAACAGAAAACCAGAACAGACCAATAACAAGCAACAACATTGAAGCAGTAATCAGTAGTCTCCCAGCAAAGAAAAGCCCAGGACCAGATGGCTTTACTGCTGAATTCTACCAAACCTTTAAAGAGGAATTAATACCAATTATCCTCAAACTATTCCGAAAAATTGAAACAGAAGCCATTCTCCCAAACCCATTCTATGAGGCCAGCATCACCCTGATGCCAACCCCAGACAAAGACGCAATGAAAAAAGAAAACTACAGGCCAATATCTCTGATGAACATAGTAACAAAAATCACCCAACAAAATATTAGCAATAGAATAAAGTAACACATCAAAAAATTATACACCATGATCAAGTGGGATTCATCCCAGGGATGCAAGGATGGTTCAACATATGCAAGTCAATAAATGTGATACAGCACATCAACAAAATGAAGGACAAAACCATATGATTATCTCAAAAGATGCAGAAAAAACATCACAAAATTCAATATCCCTTCATGATAAAGACTCTCAGCAAATTTGGTATAGAAGGAAAGTATCCCAACACAATAAAAGCTGTATATGGCAAACCCACGGTCAATATCATCCTGAATGGGGAAAAGGTGAAAGCTTTTCCCTTAAGAATAGGAATAAGACAAGAATGTCCACTCTTTTTTTCGTTTTTTTGTCCTTTTTGAGACCGGCCGCACCGCGCTCAGCCAGTGAGCGCTGTGAGCGCACTGGTCATCCCTATATAGGATCCGAACCCACGGCGGGAACGCCGGTGCGCTCCCAGCGCCGCACTCTCCCTAGTGCACCACGGGCTCGGCCCTTTTTTTTTTTAAAGATGACCCGCAAGGGGATCATAACCCTTGACTTGGCGTTGTTAGCACCATGCTCACCCAGTGAGCTAACCAGCCATCCCTATATGGGATCTGAACTCGTGGCCTTGGTGTTATCAGCACCATACTCTCCCAAGTGAGCCACGGGCCGGCCTGAAGAATGCCCACTCTTACTGCTCCCATTTAACACAGTATTTGCAGTACTAGCCAGAGCAATCAGACAAAAGAAAGAAATAAAGGGCATCCAGATTGGAAAAGACAAAATCAAACTGTCCCTGTTTACAGATGGCATGATCCTATATATAGAAAAACCTAAAGACTACAAAAACACTCTTAGAGCTGATAAACAATTTCAGTAAAGTTGCAGGGTACAAAATCAACATGCAAAAAATAAGTAGTGTTTTAATATTCCAATAACAAACTAGCAGAAAAAGAAATCAAGAAAGTAAGCCCATTTACAATAGTCACCAGAAAAATAAAATACCTAGGAATCAATTTAATCAAGGAGGTAAAGATCTTTACAATGAGAATTACAAATCCCTGCTGAAAGAAATTGAAGAACTCACAAAAAAATGGAAAGACATTTCATGCTCTTGGACTGATAGAATTAACACCATGGAAATGTCCATACTACCCAAAGTGATCTACAGATGCAATCCCCATCAAAATACCAATGACATTCTTCACAGAAACAGAAAAAACAACCCTAACA